TACTCTGTCACCCAGGCTGGAGTGCAATGGCATGATCTTGGCCCACTGCAACCTCCGTCTCCTGGGCTCAAGTGATTATCCCACCTCAGCCCCCAGAGTAGCTGGGATTACAGGCATGAGTCACTGTACCCAGCCCCTGGCTATTCCTTTTAAACATATATTTTCATCATCATGAAGTTAGGGAGGCTGGCTCAAGTCTCCCACCAATTCTCTTTATTATTTCCTTTGATTCTGACACTCCAGATAAAACGAGACTTTGCAATGATAGCTCTTGTGTTCAACTTTGCTCTTATGCCCTAGGAATTATTAGAGAGCTTCTTCTCTTGTCCCTTCCCCCACTATTTTATAAGTGTAAACTTCTTGATTAATGTCATTTAAATGATTTGCTTTTCTGTTAAATTTCTTAGCAAATAAGCATTAACTTCCACTTATTTCACACATGGTATATGCTAAATTATGTTTTTTAATATTCTCAGCAAAACAACTAGATAGATTTAGTTTATCCCCATTTTACAGATGTTGAAAATAATAAAATATTAGAAGTTATTTGCCTCAAATATGTCACAAGTAAATGCTGAACCAGCATTAGAACTCAAGCCTGATTCTGATTACCTACTTTTTCTTTCATTTCTCATTGTTAAAAGAAAAGCTTTAGATATATAAAATTTAACAGAATTTGAGCAAAGAACCATTCATGAATCAGGTAGCATTCAAAATTGAAAGAGGTTCACAGAGCTCCACTCCAGCAGTGTGACCAGCAAGCATTTATAGGTTGAACATGGAAACAAAGTAGAGAAGTTACCTGATTGACTACAGCTAGGCATTTGCCTTATTTGTATATTGTCTGATGGAAGTTCCCTATTTGTAACCAATAGGCTGGTTGGCTGTTTGTGATTGGCTAAGGCTTGTTTTTGGTTTTTAAGTCAGTTACAATAAATGTTTCCAAGTTAAGTTTCAGTTCTCCTATATAAGAGGGCTGGTTACAGAGATAACCTCAGGCTAATGGCCACCTTATTTAACAACATTATATCATACTCTTGGGAAGATGTATGATTTTTATACAAGCAATTATAAAACACAAAATTTTATACAAGCAAATATATAAATACACAATTTCACATCTGTATATTTTATAAATATTAGAAAAGAAGAGAAAACATGTATAATTTTAAAAAACAGTCTTACAGGTGACTTATAAAGATGTCTTGTGAGGTGAAGAATTAGTCCTGGGCCATTAGCCATATATAATTGTCTTTATGCCTCACTCTAATTTGGAATACTCTTTTTCTATTCTAGGTCATATGTCATCAATGTTGTTAAGTCAACATTTGAACTGTTACGATAGTGAATTTCACATATAAGCTTGACTGGGCCATCTGGTGCCCAGACATTTGGTCAGATATTCTAAATCTGTCTGTGAGGATACTTCTGGATGAGATTAACATTTGAATCAGGAGCCCAAGTAAAGTAGATTTTCCTGTGTGGTGGGCCTTATCCAATCAAATGAAGAATTGAATAGAATAAAAGACTGAGTAATTGGAAATATCTCCTGCCTGTTTGAGTTGGGACATTCATGAGTCTTTTCCTGCCATTGGACTCAAATTTAAAAACTGACTCTTCTTGGGCCTACCAGATTTTGGACTGAAACTTAGCCGTGGTGGTTCTCAGGCCTTTGGACTTGTGCTGAAACTATACTGTCAGCTCACCTGGGTATCTAACTAACTGGTTGTAGATCTTGGGACTTCTTAGCTTCTGTTATCATGTAAGCTTATAATAAATCAATCTTGCACTCTCTCTCTTGATCACTCTCTCTGACCTCACACATATATATATCTTCATCCATTGTATTGGTTTTTTCTAGTTCCTTTTCCTTAGAAATAACATCTAAGCCTTTCATTATCTCTCTTCCTCCATGATATCCACTCTCATTTTTAATATGTCTCCCTATTCACAGTTACTCAGAATACCGTGTACAAAATTATTTCTACAAGTCACTTAGATTTCCAGCAGTACTGCCAATTACAACTTATTACTTTTTTCTGCACACATAGGCACATACACATTTCCACAAGCATACACATATTTACACAGGCACACTATTTTTCCACACACTATAATAGCTATCCAGTGGAACTTTCTGTGATGATGAGAATGTTTTATATTTGCTTTGCATAATACAGTAGTCACTAGGCAGATGTATTAATCTGACTTAATCAGAAAAACAGAACCAAAGGGATATATATATTACACACACACACACACACACGTATATGTATTTGTACTAGACATATGTATATGTATTTTTACTACAGAGGTATATGTATTTGTTTTATATATATATGAAACAAGCATACATAAATATATATGGAGAGATACAGAGAAACTATAAGGAATTAGCTCATGTGATCATGTGATTATGGAGGCTGAGAAGACCCAAGATTTGTAGTCAGCAAGCAGGAGACTTAGGAGAGCTGATGGCATAGTTCTAGTTTGAGTTCCAGCTTGAAGTCAGGCAGAGAGCAAGAGTTCCTTCTTACTCAGCCTTTAGTTCTATTGAGACCTTCAACACACAGGATAAGGCATATCTACATTGGGGAGGACAATTGCTTTACTCAGTCTACCAATTAAAATGTTAATCTCATCTGGAACACTCTCACAGATATACCGAGAAGTAATGTTTAACCAAAAATGTGGGCACCCTGTGGCCCAAACAAGTTGTCACTCATCATACCACATATGGCTGACCACTTAAATGTGGCTAGAGCAATGAAGGACCTGAATTTTTAATTGTATTTACTGACAAGTAATTTAAATAGCTACACGTGGCTCATGGTTACTGTATTGCACAGCACAACAGTAGATTGTCTTGGTCCTAGAATGGAGCTTTAATTGATGATGTAGGACAGCTTAGACTACTTCTCCAGTATCTAGCTTCCACCCAGGGCTCTTGGAGTACCTACTCAGGGAGAACCAAGCTTTATTCAAGAAGCTGAGCCACTCTGAGACTGTCATTCTGTGAAGAAGCTCCAGCTAGCCACTTGGAGAGGGTGTGTTAAGATCAGTGAGGATGAGCTTTTTTTCATGTTTGTTGAACAGATAAATGTCTTTTTTTGAGAAGTGTCTGTTCATATCTTTTGCCCACTTTTTGGTGGGGCTGTTTATTTTTTTCTCGCAAATTTGTTTAAGTTCCTTGTAGAGTCTGGGTATTAGACCTTTTTCAGATGGGTAGATTACAAAAATTTTCTCCCATTCTATAGGTTGCCTGTTCACTTTGATGATAGTTTCTTTTGCTCTGCAGAAGCTCTTTAGTTTAATTAGATCCCATTTGTCAATTTTGGCTTTCGTTGCAATTGCTTTTGGTGTTTTAGTCATGAAGTCTTTGCCCATGCCTATGTCCTGAATGGTATTGCCTAGGTTTTCTTCTAGGGTTTTTATGGTTTGGGGTTTTACAGTTAAGTCTTTAATTCATCTTGAGTTAATTTTTGTATAAGGTGTAAGGAAGGGGTCCAGTTTCAGTTTTCTGTGTATGGCTGGCTAGTTTTCCCAGCACTATTTATTAAATAGGGAATCCTTTCCCCATTGTTTGTTTTTGTCAGGTTTGTCAAAGATCAGATGGTTGTAGATGTGTGGCCACATGGTATATGATTTCACAAAAAATTGAATAAAGAAGCAGATATGAGAATCTAGTTGTCTTCTATTAAGCCAGATGCGTAAAGAGATTTGCAAAAAACGGTGTAACGCTTCTCAAGAAACCTTTTATTTGTTTTGGAAAATAGTTATTTTACAGTTATCCATTTATATGTTTTTGTAGTTATGTATAGTTATATATATATAGGTATGAATATGAAATGGATATATGTGAATATGTATAATACATATATTAGATATATTCAATATAATTATATGAAATTTATTCTTATTTTTAAATGAATGAATAAATATTTAAGTGTTCTCAGAAAAAAAACAATAAAAGGAGAAAGAGCCCCATCTGTTCAAGTGATCCCAGCTGAATCATAAGAAATGTGAATGAGGAAACCATACTGAACATGTAATACAGTCAGGCCTTCAGATGGCTTCAGCCACAGCTGCCATCTGCCTGTAGTTACATGAAAGCTTCCAAGCAAGAAGCATCATCTAAACCCACAGGACCATGAGAGATGATAAATTGTTGTCTTAAGCCACTAAGTTTTGGGATGATAACTGGAACAGAAACGTAGAATCAAGGTTTTCTATTTGTCTGGCTCCCCAAGTTCCCAATCTTCTGTTTCCCACTTCCTTGCTTTTGATGATACAACTTTTATGTTTAGAGCTGAATTTGCAGCTCAAGATAGTCACAATTATCTGATCTTTACCTATCTTGGATTTCTGACCTCATGTTTAAAAAAATATTTCTTAATTAAGATATATGCGGTTTTCCTTCCTACTTTTACATAGGCCAGTTTGGAAAAGTGCTTGCCTTTTTCTTCTTTACTAAAGCCATAATAAATTAATCTAACACTTTGATCTTTTTCAACCAATTATCTTGTAAAAGTCTAACCTTAGAAGCCATATAGTTTATGCTGCAAAATCAGCATTTTAACAGCTACTTTGCAACCAGAAGAGAATGGATTGAAAAAGTGAGGGATTGTGTTGGGTACATACTCAATAACTATGTTAGAAATAACATGTCTTATGTATAATAATAATATTAATCATGTAGTGAAATCCTATATAAGCTATTTATACAACTTGTACATTTTGCTATTTAACACAATTATATAGCCTTGAATGTTAGCACTTATAAAAAATATACTTTTTATTCCAATGAGGTCAACATTTATGAAAATTCAAAGGAATGTAGTATTAAACGTCAGGAAAACAAATGTTTAGAACAAGTTTTACTGTCTTACTATTTTTCTTAGTGACCATTTTTGTATATTTGACATCAAGAGGGCAAAATTTGGAGTCTGAAACTTGCATTAGGTTTCTACTACATCAGTGATTTTTTTTTTTAATTCTAGTTCTAAGGACATATGGAATTGGCTATGGATAATTCATATGCTTTCAATCAACGAAGCACCTGTAATGGAATTCCATCTGAGAAGAAAAACAACTTCCTTGTATCAGAAGATCATGGACAAAAAATCTTAAGTGTACTACAGAATTTTAGAGAACAAAATGTCTTTTATGATTTCAAAATAATTATGAAAGATGAAATAATCCCATGTCATCGTTGTGTGTTAGCAGCATGCAGTGACTTTTTCAGGTACTTTACCTTATCTATGCCTCAGATTTTCTGATTTGGATAACTAAGTTCTGTTTTATGCTACACACAGGAACATGCAACAGTCACTTCTAATTCTTAAAAAAAAAAAAAAGAAAAAAAAAACTAATTAGGCCAGGCATGGTGGCTCACACCTGTAATCCCAGCACCCTGGGAGGCTGAGGTGGGTGGATCACCTAAGGTCAGGAGTTAAAGACCAGCCTGGCCAATATGGTGAAACCCCATCTCTACTAAAAATGCAAGTAGCCAGGCACAGTGGCATGCACCTGTAATCCCAGCTATATGGGAGACTGAGGGCATGAGAATCACTTGAACTGGCTGAGGTTGCAGGTGATCTGAGATTGTGTCACTGCACTCCAGCCTGGGCAACAGAGCGGGACTCTGTCTCAAAACAAAAGAACAAAGAAAAACTAATTAGAACCAAGATTAATGATTTTTTAGTAGGAGATAATTTAAAACTACCTTTTATTTTAAAGTATAGGTCTTCCCAGGTCACCATTTCCCAAAGTTCTCTGGAACATTAATTATTTGAAATATTCTGGGACAAAACAAATTTTTTTTTGATGAGGTCAGGTTTTTTTGGGGGGAATCCCTGTATTGTATTATTTTAGAAAAAGCAGACAGGATAGGTTGAAAAAATGGAAGCAAAGTTTGAAGAAAATGACTTTGTGAGAAAAGTAAATTTCAGTCCTATATTGTATTCATGTATTATGGGGACAGGTGGCTCTAACTCAGAGGATTTAAAAATTTATCCTCTCCTTGGCAAAGATACCCTTATATTAGAGAAAAGTACTTCTTAGCTATAAAATATTTCTTGAAAGCACCCAACTTGTTCTAATTCTAAGCAACCTTCTGAATATAATTTGGTTTCCCATGTAGATCACCCTAAAGAGAATGTCCTAGTCATAACACTGCAGTAATCACTATGATGACAACAGTTTCTTTTTCTGCAAGGTTAAGGTTCAGACACATGACTTTGCAACTACTGTGTTAATTGTATCAAGAGAGTACTATCCTGGGAGGTGTCTTGATCATCAGACAGCCCCTTTTGATGAAACCCTGATCTTCATCCTCCCTGGTTATACAAGAAACTTAAATCCTAATTGCAATATTTTGCACTATGTTCATTTGTGGAAGCAATTTTAATATGAATTAAGCAGGGTTTAAATCTCCAATAAATAAATTTGATTTTAAAAAATAAGATTTAAGATATAGAAATACCAAGATGCATCTTTTATATGCAAGTTAATTTACACTGTTTTGAATCCTCACTTTAACCCTTATTTTTTTATCAGCATCTAATTAGACCTCACCCTTATTGCTTTCAGAGTAAATCTTACAAGCTAGATTTCATTCAGCAAACATTTATTGATATATACTTCCTGCTAAACACCTGTAGGGACTCTTGCTTTTTTTTTTTTTTTTTTGAGACGGAGTTTCGCTCTTGTTACCCTGGCTGGAGTGCAATGGCGCGATCTCGGCTCACCGCAACCTCCACCTCCTGGGTTCAGGCAATTCTCCTGCCTCAGCCTCCCGAGTAGCTGGGACTACAGGTGTGCGCCACCATGCCCAGCTAATTTTTGTATTTTTAGTAGAGACGGGGTTTCACCATGTTGAAAGGATGGTCTCGATCTCTTGACCTTGTGATCCACCCGCCTCGGCCTCCCAAAGTGCTGGGATTACAGGCTTGAGCCACCGCGCCCGGCCTGGGACTCTTGCTTTAAAATTGGGAGCAATGGCTTAGTACTGCAGCACAGTTTACTAGGGCCATGGAGGCTACAACAGTCTTGAAGTAGCTGTTTGCCTAATTCGACTACATGTCATCATCTGTTCTTTTTATTTCTTCTCTTGGGTAATCAAAGTTATTCTTTGAACTTCACTGGGGCCCTTACTGTCTTATACTCTGCCACTCTCATTTCTGCCAGTGTCTTCCCTCCTCTCTTATAACCTAGCTTTTCTTCCATGTAAGGCTTTTCTGCTCCCTTATCCTTCAGGTCCCCTCTTCATCATAGGAAGCTGTGTAGTACAATGGTTAAGTAGTTGGCCTCTTAATACATATGCCCTAAATCTAAATCCAAGCTCTGTCGTTTACTAGATATGTTTTATTAGGCAAGTTACTTAACCCCTTCAGGCCTCAGTTTCCTCATTTGTAAAAAAGTAGTATTATAAAACTAGGACTTAACTCACAGAATTACTATATTGCTTAAATGAAAAAATATATGAGTAATAATTAGCATAGTACCTACTACATTCAGTTAATATTAGCTGCAATGATTATTATTTCTAAACCTAGCAAAAAAATATAAATAATATGGTATAAACACACAGCTTGATTTCCCTGTAATATTTTCATGCTAATAAAATACTCTTATGTAGGCATTTGGATTTGTAGTCTTGCACTCTTCTTGATGTTATTTTTTAGTAAATTTATCTACACATAATTTTTGCTCATAGTTCTTTGTTCAGCTTACTGCTAGTTTTTTATAGGTCTGCTTTTACTTTTTAAAATTACTGTTAGACCAATGTATTTTTAAAGTTTTCTGCCTAGTTTAAATAACAAAAATATCAGATCCTTTATTATATATACTACTTTATTAAATGAGTATACAGTTCACATTAAAATATGTACATATGTAATAGAAATTTGGCAATTTACACTCTCCTATAATGCCACTAATTCAAAATATGATCAAACTCACTTAATAGAATATTGAAAATGTAAAAAGTGTCAGAAAAGTGCACAATACATGAAAATATCCCTCTTACAGTGTTTTTGGAAAAGAAAATTATTAAGATAGGAAGTCATTGGAGACAAGAAATTGAAAAGGAATCACACATTTCATATGTACTGTATGAGATGGTAAATTGGAGACAGATGTCAACTGAATAAGATGAATAAGGATGAAGTATACAAACATAATCTTAACATGTGTCTTCTCAAAGAAAATGTGGAAGCTGATAGTAAATAGCTATTTATAAAGTGATAAATAGCGTTGTAGGAAGGCATTTTGTCATCCTTTTTCTAAGAGATATTCCTTATTTGCAAGTCTCCTCATATTTTTCAGTTGGATGTTGTACTTTTTAAATAGATTTCATTAGCTTCTGCAGTACACTCTAATAAGTAAATTGGTTTTCCGTAGAATACTAGGAACACTGCTCAGAAAGACATGCTGGACAATACTGGCACAAATACAAATCATTGTTAAATCAGAACCAACAGTAAAATGGATTTTGTTCCATGCCTACACATTTCCAAATAATTTATATTTTTACCTAAACTGAGCCAAAGAAATCCCCAGTTCCTTAGATTCTGTCAGCTTTGCCATGTAGTGATAAAACAAAACTTATTATGAAGAACTTTCAAGCTGGTCTAATTATTCAGATTTGGGGACCTATCTCCATCTCTTAGTACCTATTACCAAACTGTTATTTTTTTTTCCACCTTTTTGCTTGATGTGGTACACTGTTTAAATTAGTTAGTTTTAGGAAATCACATTCTCTTTCCCTAAAAAACTATATAAAATGTCTTTTTAGACATGTATCTTATTTGGTGAATTTCCCCCACACAAATAGACTCATTGGAAACATCAGGTATCTCACTGTACTCTTTTCTGTTTCATTAATGTGAAATCGAAGATAAATTTGAAAGGGACTTTTAAATCGTAAGCCCTAAATAAGTACATTTTAAGTAATTTTAGTTATCACCAGCACAGTTGATACTAATTAATCCATAAATAAAGAAATTTGGCCATCAGCAAGATTTTGCCCTAAAAGTATTAATAATATATAAGAACAAATTAGTATACAAAATTTGAATCTTTTTATAGTATTTTTATTAGTTGCTATAGCTCAGCTATTATGTACATATTGTGTACTACAGGCATTTTATAATATGTTTGTTGGCAGATAAGAAATATGGTATATAATTCTAGATATTAAAATAATTAGGATGCAATTAAAATATGATTTTATAAATATATTTTAAGTCAAGAGTAAAGGGAAACTCTTTAAGGTAATATTGAAAATAATTATGGAATAAAATATCCCTGTTGTTTTTCTGTGTTCTTTATTTTTGCAGGGCTATGTTTGAAGTAAACATGAAAGAAAGAGATGATGGAAGTGTTACCATTACTAATTTGTCCTCCAAAGCAGTAAAAGCATTTCTCGATTATGCCTATACAGGAAAAACAAAAATAACAGATGATAATGTGGAAATGTTCTTCCAGTTGTCATCATTTCTTCAAGTTTCCTTCCTATCCAAAGCTTGCAGTGACTTTTTAATAAAAAGTATTAATCTTGTCAATTGTTTACAGTTATTATCTATATCAGATAGCTATGGCTCCACCAGTTTGTTTGATCATGCATTACACTTTGTACAACATCACTTTTCTTTACTATTTAAATCCAGTGATTTCTTAGAGATGAATTTTGGAGTACTACAAAAATGTCTGGAATCAGATGAATTAAATGTTCCTGAAGAAGAAATGGTACTGAAAATTGTCCTTAGTTGGACTAAACATAACTTAGAATCAAGGCAAAACTATCTGCCTCATTTGATTAAAAAAGTAAGATTACATCAGTTATCTGAGGAGACACTTCAAGACTGTCTGTTCAATGAAGAGAATTTACTCAAAAGCACAAACTGTTTTGACATAATCATGGATGCAATTAAGTGTGTGCAAGGTTCTGGTGGACTCTTCCCTGATGCTCGACCATCTACAACTGAAAAATATATATTCATTCACAAAACTGAGGAAAATGGAGAAAATCAATATACATTTTGCTACAATATTAAAACTGATTCATGGAAAATACTGCCGCAATCACACCTGATTGATTTGCCAGGATCTAGTCTTTCTAGTTACGGAGAGAAAATATTCTTGACAGGTGGTTGCAAAGGGAAATGCTGTAGAACGGTTCGACTACATATTGGCGAGTCATATCATGATGCCACTGATCAAACCTGGTGCTACTGTCCAGTTAAAAATGATTTCTTCTTGGTATCAACTATGAAAACACCAAGAACCATGCATACATCAGTTATGGCTCTTGATAGATTATATGTTATAGGTGGAAAAACTAGAGGATCCCGGGACATTAAAAGTCTCTTAGATGTTGAATCTTACAATCCTCTTTCCAAAGAATGGATATCTGTTAGCCCATTACCCAGAGGCATATACTATCCAGAAGCAAGTGCATGCCAAAATGTAATTTATGTTCTTGGATCAGAAGTAGAGATTACAGATGCTTTTAACCCATCGCTTGATTGCTTTTTTAAATACAATGCTACAACTGATCAGTGGTCTGAACTAGTAGCAGAGTTTGGGCAATTTTTTCATGCAACATTAATTAAAGCTGTCCCAGTAAACTGTACACTGTATATATGTGACCTTTCCACCTATAAAGTTTATAGTTTTTGTCCAGACACTTGTGTTTGGAAAGGTGAAGGATCTTTTGAGTGTGCAGGCTTTAATGCAGGTGCAATTGGAATTGAAGATAAAATTTATATATTAGGTGGTGATTATGCACCAGATGAAATCACAGATGAAGTGCAGGTCTACCATAGCAACAGGTCTGAGTGGGAAGAAGTTTCACCAATGCCGAGAGCCTTAACAGAATTTTACTGCCAGGTGATTCAGTTTAATAAATACAGAGACCCATGGTTTCCCAATCTATGTGCTTGAACATTCTAAAACAATTCCAGTTCTAGTAACCTAAAGTAAATTCGTTAACCAAAATGATAGGTAAAAAGGTCTATACATCTTAATGAAATAAAATGTTCCTGCTTTCAGTTACTATGTATGCACACTATATATGAATAAACTGTTTCTAAAAACTTAAAGTACAAAATACATTTTACCAAAAATTATATTGAATATAACCTTGCAGAATCCAAAATACTTAGCATTTTCTCATGAAACTACAAATCATGGACTTTGACACTTTGATTTTTAAAGTACTCTGTCCATAAAAGATTTGTACTATTTAAATGGGAGAAATCTCTTGAGAGAGTAAAAATGAATTACTTACACTGTATCTTATGTGAAGTAAAAAATAAGAGGTGAAAAACTTGTTACTGTAGGTATAAGAGTTGTTGAATTCCTATCATTTGTGATGATTGGTTAACTTGTTTTAGGTACCTTTTTTACCCTTTTTAAGTTCAGAAATATATTTTCCCAGCTTTATAAACTGTATACTAAACATAGTCCAACTTTTTTTAATGACTCATTTTTTCATTAAAAGCATAATGTACCATCTTATAATGCCATTACCAGTTACTTAAATGCTTTTTAAAATGCTGATTCTATTAGTTTTCAGGATCAGTTGGTTTCAGTTTCTGGCAGTCTCTCTCATATTCTGGTTCAATCTTAGTAAATTAACATTCTGGATTTGATTAGTAGTTCTAAGTTACACCTGGCCTGAGTTTACGTTAACATGTAATCCTCAAGGGGAAAATTTTTGGATTCTGGGATGGTAGTACTAAAATACTTTTTATGTATCATTGCTAGATTCCAGCTTAAATGAGGATATGGAAAATTGACCTCTAATTAAGTGGTTCATTATAATTGCATTTCTTAAACTTTGTCCAAATTGACCTACGTAAAACATTTCAGGATTTAAATTAGTACCAAATCAATTTTCTGTGTTGATGTATATCAACTATAAAGCATCATGTTGGTTTGCTACTGAAGTAAATTATTTTTAGTGAATTACTTTCTAAATTAAAAAAAAAAAAAAAAAAAAGGGCTAGGCTTTTGGTATTGATAGTAGGATTCACAACCTGCATCCGTGTAGATGTTTGATCTTTACCTGAAACAATGAAAAAGTATTGTCATTGTTTTCAGGTAGGTGATTCTGCCTTCTAAGAGTGTATGTTTCTTTAATCAGTTTAAAAGATAAAGGCATTTTAGGTTTTAAGACCCCTGCTTTACATCTCAGGTAATGTGTATATTGTATTTCTCTTGAACCAAATGTAGTTTTCTACACTCAGTTGTAAATGTTAATCTTTGCCAAATGTGCATATTCTTTAAAACTCTGTCTCTAAGTAGAAATATACCTAAATGAAGATTTTGTTATTTTACCATATAAATTTATGCAACCATAAGTTCCAAATGTATTTTTCAAAATGGAATGAAATATTAAAGTACATTTTCATGCAGTTTAAAAATCAAGGACTGTTTCTGATTAGAAGACAGGCGCATAAAGAGTTTTCTGTAAAATTGGTGGCCTTCTTATCTAAGCACATGAATAGTTGGCTCTGCACTTTGTGTATTTAAAAAAATGGAAAATTCAGTGGAGCTTTTGTTTATGTGTGTGGCTTTGAAAACAAATTATTTGAGAAAGACCATAACACAGTGAGTAACCTATATGTGGATTTACTGAACTGTTAATTTAAGCATATATATTAATAGAGTATGTTTAAAATAAATATTGTTTTAATCACTGACTTTAGGAATTGTTCATCTATTTCAGAAAGGAGACACCCAAAATCGAATCCCTTTTTGATATTGTTTCATCATTGCATCATCTTCTTGATTTCCACTACTGCTCTGATTGGCCTTTGCTTTATGCTAATATTTCCAGAAACATTCTTGTTATCAAGGCCTAGGTGGCTCTCTCTGCATTTGATATAATACATTTTTCTAATGCAAAAGGTTTTCTGCCTTCTTTTTTTTTTAATAATTGCTGTGGGTTACTTTTTAATCATTTTCACTGATTGCCATCCCTTCCTTCACATCTGTACCTTTGTTCTATCCACCAATTATCACTGCAAGAAAAAGACTCTGTCTATCAAAAAACCTCCAACTCTTTATTTTCTTTTTTCCTGGTCACCATAGCAATCGGTGCTAGACTCCTCTCCACTAACTCATCTCCTTTTGGATTTTGCCTTTCCTTATAAAGGTCGCACTTTCATTTGGTCTATATGCCTTATAGGAAAATGGTTTGTGTCTTCTAAGTCCTCAAGGAACTCAACCACACAGGAACAATGACTGAACTCTGGTTATATCTTCTGGTCTTGTTAATGACTGTGGCTTCACTGTCTAAGAACCGTATATATTATTCTGGCCTCACACTTCTTTCTGGATTTCTGACATGCAAATCTCATTGATCCCTCAAGTCTATTCTCAGTACCTCCAGAAGGAGCTATTTTTTCTGTCTGTAAGGTTAGGTAAGAGAAAATACCATCCTTTAATGGGCTCTTCCTTTAGTCTTTTTAAGTCTATTTTCCTTTCATTATATCCTTCAGCCAATGCTACAATGTAAGAGACAAAATAATTATGCTCATTATTCAGATTGCTATCATTCCTGTGGAAAAATTCTATTTAACATTTCTAAAGCCATTATCGTTTGTCTTGCTCCACTACATTTGCATTATGCATGCAAAAATATTTTAATATTGTAATGTCTTCTAAAATTGAAAGTAGATATATGGCATTATTAAATACAAAAAAGAGTATATTTAACACATGAGATCAATTCAAAGTTAATGGACATTCCTAAAATGTGGAGTGCCTTTTGTTCATCTACACCCTTTGCGACTAAGTAGTGTGGGGAATATTTGCATAATCAAACAAAGTTAACTACATTCCCATAATTGGCCCTGGTTTGGGGAGTGAAGGAGGTCGTTATTACAGCAATATTCATTATGTGCTACCCTTGAAAGCTAGATTAGTATTCAGTAGTGACCGCATGCTGGAATATGATTCCATATTTCTCAGAAACCAAGAGGAGCAATTGAGTATATGTTCAGTGTGCTTATTAGCTCAAGGTATATCATTTGAAAATCAGAATTAAGCACAGAGGGATACATCTGTTTACATTTTGAGATTTGAATGCAATAAATATTATAATATAATGATTAAGTAGTTGAATAATTTTACTTTACAATCATCATGCTCAGTTTAATTGGATCTAGTGTTGTGGAAACTCTTATTGAGAATTGAAAGTATAAATCTCAAAAATGTTATCTGAGGGGGCAGCTCTAAACGGCAATCTAAACACAAAGGCTGAAAATTATAGGGATCATATTTCTGTCCACTTTATAAAGTCATACTTTAGAATGAGACCACTTACCAAAAACTGTGGCATAGGGAAGATCATTAGATCAATAATTTCCTATATGAATTAGCATGACCAAAGATTTCTACATTCTACTTATAAATCTCACTCACCATCATTCTGATATATGTTTTCTCCTCCAACATATTTAACATTTTAGGCATTGTGAATAAGTTGATTTCAGTGGTTCTTGATACCCAAATTTTTTCCATAGGAGCTGAGGCTTAAAACTACACTATTTTTGGAACTATCTTATTCAAGAGAATTTTTTTTCTAATTAGAAAAAGTTTGTAAATGGTACTGACATTTATAGTGAGCTGCTAGTTGGGAGTTTTCCTTTGATTTGCCATAGATGCATGTTCATTTCATAATGAGTAAAAACTGAAAGATCAGTACCTACAATTTTCTTCTGAATTATTATTTTTCTGCATAGTATTTATATGGCAAATATTGTGATTTTAGTTAAATATATAATTTGAAAGAATATGTCTTAAACATCTAGATGTGTTTATAAAATATACTTGATGACTGATGCTTGATCAAATTTAATATCAAAAGGGGGAATTCAATCACAGGAAAATACTATTATACGTTTACCAAAAGAAAGCTCTTCTAAATCATAGACTCATTCAAATTTGAAAATAACCTTGGAAGCTAATGCAGCTTGCCAACCTGATATAGAAATTTCCTTTAAATTCTAAAACATCCTGACATGCAATTTTTTTTTCAGTTCCTAAATTGATGTTTTCAGTGGTTAAGAATCACTATCTCCATGATTGAAGTTTTAATAGAAAATTCTTGCTAACACTGAAAACAACTCTGCCTTCCTGTAATAACTTCCAGCCCTTGGTCTTAGGTTGCTCTCTTCACATGCCAGTCATTTAAGCGTTTGAACCAGTACCATGTCTTCCATTCCTCCAAAATCAAGGCCTCATTTTTATTTTTGTTCTAATGCTTGGCACTTTAACATCTCCCACAATAGCTGGTGTTATGTATCTTCTTGCCCAGTTATCTACCTAGCTCTATTGCTTTTATGGTGGATGGAGCCTGACCAGTATCACAGAATCTGTTTCATGTATGGACCTTGCCTCCCTGTCTATTCTCAGTGTGCTGGATAATTCAGACATATCATCTCCTCATTTAGCTCTTTAAGTCTTACATATCCCATTTGGACTACAGCCTTGCTGTGTCTCCCTTCTCCAACTCATGCCCATCAACATAATCGCAACCATATTTTCTGGGAGAGGAATTATGAAGCCAAATTTTAGTAAGTCAAACAATTTGTCTTTCGATATGGTTTGAAGACTTTTAAAAACACTAAAGAAAACTCCAGAAAGTATACAAAGAATAGAAACCAAACACAACCTTGGTGGTAAAGAAGAGGACAATTTGCTCACAAATCAATACTGACCAGCCTTATGATAACAGCAATCTAAATTTGGAGATTCATTTGTGCAGTTAGTTCATTTGGATAGAACATGATATTTACATAAAACAATGCCATAATTAAATAGGTCTATGAGTCAGATAGTTTTGTTCATTTCACTAACTGGCATGCCCAACGATAAAGGTCTAACTAGCTCAACAAATTATGCTGTTGGTCTCAAGGGTAACAAGATTGCTGAAATAACTCAGAGTATAGTCTTCTGCTAATGAGTATCATATTGTAGCATAAATATTTCTTTATATGTCTGTCTGCCTCGTTTAACTGGTAACTTTCAGGGATAGGGACATATCTTCAGCATTTCTGGGCCCAGCAGTTGGCAGAGTGCCTGTAATATAATAAAGCTTCCAATAAACTGATATTATATTGAGCCAACATGTGAAGCAAGATATATTTTAGTTGTTTCTAAATCAATTTGGTATATCTGTATATTTTTTGACTTATTTTCACATGCAAAAGAAATTATTTTACATTTTAGAATGTTACCACATTGTACTTTAATTTATTAATGTATGTGTTAATTCATTTTGTAATATTAATCTTGCTTATGTTCAAAGTCTCTGAAAAAATTGGTTTAGATAGTTTATGCAACTTTAGTTTTTGCAGTAAAATAAATGGAAAAGTTAATCAAACGCATTTTTTTTAGAGTGAAATTGCATTATACAAGTGCACTGCCCACCTTTGGAGAGCATGTATATATTATAGTTGACTATATAGTTGGATCTTGAAAGTGAAATTATAGATTCAGAGTCATTTATTCACTTAATTTTTTAATGCTTGGGGAGTATTTATTTTCAGTTAATTCTCATATTTAATTCTATGTTTCTTTTCAAAGGCAGTAATGGATAAAACAACGACTACAAATTTCCTATTTATCCTACAATAGTATAATAGCGTCAATGACCTTTTTCCCATTCAGGCAGGGGAATAGTGCCCAAAGCTATTTACATTGCACACACAGCTTACTTTATTTCTCTGTTAGTGGAATGTGGGGTTTTGCATATGCTGTGAGAACTAAAATTAGCATTTTTGAGGTCCATGTTAACCATATGAACATGTAGTAAAACATTTCAATTCTATAAAATAATTAAAAATGTATCTCAGAAAAAATATATATTGTCTGTATTTATTGTTATTACAAATAAAAGAGGTGGAGAAAGGCAAATGCCAGGATTCTCATTTTCTTGCCTCTCCTTTCCCAGGTGTTCTGGGTTTCTGAGCGGCTTTAATGGTCTCAGGAGTACTAAGAGTGTGATGGTGAAGGTGGAGGATTATCAAAATGGGCTTCTGTAGCTGAGATATGTCCAGCAACATAGATTTCGAGGTGGAAAACTAGGACTGAAATGAATAGAGTGACAACCAGTCTTCAGGTAAGTCATAGGTGGAGGGAGATCTCCAGGTCCTGACTGAGCTAAGAACAGACCAAATGTCCACGTGCCGCTGATGACTGCAGCAGAAGCTAGCCAAATCTGCAGAGGCAGGAGCTTCCCAATCCTGCCTCACTGGACACCAGGCACACCAGGCACACCAGGCATACCAGTCAGCTGCCAGGGTATGAACCTATCTACTTCATATACTCAGATGCTCATGGGAGGAGCCAGTGAAGGAGTCAAAGTCTGAGAGACTAAGTAGTACCTCAAAAGGGCTTTTAATGTGTTTGCATTGGACGGATGCTCTCTTAATTCCAGTTCCTGTAATTTTTTCTTATTTCTGGGCAGGGCCATTTTCTATCATGTGTCTGGTTTTCCTCTGTGATGAGCTATGATTTCTAAGTCATATTGCCTCTCAAGTCCTTCTTGCAAACTACAGCCCAGGTTGCAACTCATTTCCTCCTTGGGAACCCAACCCTTGAAAAGTGAACTCTGTCCTCATCTCACATGACTGCATAAGGCCACTTGCCTTCTCCAAATTTCCAAAGAGCTCTGGTGCTTACTTGTCAGTCTTTGTTCCAAAAGTATTGTTCCAGACTTCTTTCCTTACTACCTCTAATCTTCTATATGCCTCTAACTTTCTGCAGGTCACTTTGCTTTCAAACATAGACCCATTCCTTCTTTAAATCCCCAGACAGAAGCCTTTGTCAGAATTTATTTTAAAATTTAAGAATATCATAGGGAATTGGCCTGCCGGGTTGCTGGAGATGTCCTCCTCAAAATGAAGGAGGAGCAGCGAGGAACAAACCTCTCCAACACTGAACTCAGGAAGGAAACGGCTTTTTATCTGGCCGGGAGCTTCAGGGGGCCTACAGCCTCATTCACCAAGCTCCTGGAGCTGCAGCTTCTCTCCCCTTTTATAGGCTTAAAACACTAAAGGGGAAACTGAGGCAGAACTATTCTATTGTCCATTTGCTGGACGTTTGACCTTACAATATTTTGGCTTCATCGGTTTGCTAATTCATATGCAGCATGAGAAGGGACCAGCAGGGGACGGGGCTTACAGAGACAAGACAAAGCCAACAAGCTGTTTGTTGGCAGAGGTGTTTCCAGGAGGGAGACTGGTCTGGGGAGACATGGGACCGTGAGCAGCCTGCTCCAGCCAGCAGGGATAACATTCATTTGCAGTGCTTTCAAGGTTAACAGATAGCAGATATGCTGGAAACTAAAAGGGGAGTTATCTTCCCAGATCTTTGGTATTTTATTTTATTTTTTCCTTCTTAACCCTCCTTCCCACCTGGAAGGCAGAGGAGGGAGGAGGTAAAATAGAAGGCAAGGGGGTCTCCCCTCTCAAAATCAAGGCCTCCTCTCTCAGTTAACATTTTAATACTCACAGGCCCTGGTTGAAGCTTTCCTTTTAAGTCATTAAGCAGAATGGTTAATCATTGCAGTCTGATGCATTAGCATTTGAAGTACTTTCCTGAAATTCTGAACCTGTCTGAATTAGTCCCTTTCCTCCCACTTAGTAGAAAAAAGGACAGAAGCCCCTCAATGACAAATCTCAATCTCCATTCTTACAGAAAATAAATTGCAAAAAGCATTTAAAAAATGCTTTTTAAGTGTGTCCCCTTTTTAAGTTTTAAACTGTTAAGTTTGTCCCCTTTCCAATCAACAAGAGTTGCATAATATTGGGCTACAGGCTCTTATCTATTTAGAATGTAAGTAACAAAATATGTTTCATTGAAAACTATTTGTAATTAGCTAGTATACAGATTTTAATTGATTTCTATGTATATTTTCCAGTGAAAATAACTCTAAAAATGTAATATTCTTTTCATTATGGATCTTAAAAGTTTCAAAATGTTTGCAAAGTGTTTTGAGGTTTTTGAAATAAATACAGAATATTGAATTTTGAGGCAATGTGGCACCAGACCAGTCTCCATAATGAACATTAATTATTTAAAACTGAAGATTTTATTACCACTTTTTATAAAGCCCATGCATCCAGAATACAGTTGCTTTGTGCTTATTAAATTTTATAATTTTAAAGACTTTTATAAAGCTTAATGAGCCTAAACCTAAGATAGCCAAGTTAATATATTCATATAAAACTTAAGAAATTTGTGGGAGTTATCTTAAAATACAATTTAGGTATAAATATTAAATGCATTATCCTAGTATTTAAAGTGTTAGATTTTGCTACACCTGATAATAAATATTTTTGTGTTTCTTCTAAGTTTAGGGCTTGTTTAACTTGATTTTGTTCTGGTGGTAATTAGTGAATCTTCCATGGGAAGTTAATTACCCTTTCCTAACCCTGACCAAAATGTGTGCTGTAAAATGAGTTTAAATTTTTTAATCAAGAAAAGCCTTTCCCTGTGGGCTTTTCAGATTTAAAAATCCAATTAGCCTTAATGTTTTTCCTTTTAGAGATTAACCACCCTTTTATGTTATGAAATATTAATTGGAATTCAAATTATTTATAGCTCCTTTTAAAACAACCTTTTAACATATCAGTAAATTTTGTTTCTTTTACAATCAGTATTCACCTTTTGAATTCAGTATTCTTGAAGAAGTAAAATATTACCACAGTATTCTTCCATTTAATTTCTTTTACAAGAACAAATTAATATGCACCCTTGTTTCTAAGAATTTTCACAGAGAAAACTATTCAATAGTTTAAAATAAAGCATCTACATTTCTTCCATTCATAAAGAAATATTGAAGCTCCAACGAATACTTTCGTGAATGTCTATTATGCATGCACATTGTTAGGCAGTGCTCCTCAGACTTGCTTCAAAAATAAATCATCTAGGACAGGCATAGTGGCTCAAGCCTGCAATCCCAATCCTTTGGGAGACGAACGTGGGATGAATGCTTGAGGCCAGGCATTCGAGACTAGCCTGGGCAACATAGCAAGACCCCATTTCTACAGAAACAAAATGTTAAAAAGAATTAGCTGGGCATCGTGATTCACACCTGTAATACTAGCTACTCAGGAGGCTGAGGCAGGAAGATCACTTGATCCCAGGAGTTCAAGGTTATAGAGAGCTCTGATTGTGCCACTGCACTCCAGCCTAGGTGAGAGTCAGACCAGGTCTCCAAATTTAAAAAATCATAATGGCCAGGTGCAGTGGGTGGCTCACTCCTGATATCTCAGCACTTTGGGAGGCTGAGGTGGGGGGGATAGCTTGAGCCCAAGAATTTGAGATTAGCCTGGGCATCATAGTGAGACCCCCATCTCTACAAAAATTTTAAGTCAATCAATCAATCATTTGTGGGAAGGGGTGCCTGCTGAAAGTACCAAATGCAGGACCTCACTCTTGGAGATTTTGATTTAGTAAGTTCTAGAGTTGGGTCCTGGGAATCCATATTTTTAACAAGAACTGCAAATAATTCTTTTTGGTGAGCAAGGTGGGCAACACCAGACAGGTCCTCATTAGGATGGCAGGACCTTGTTGCAGTCACCATGTCTATATCAGTCACCTATTGCTGA